AGGTGCCCTTGAGCAAGGCACCGAACCCCCAACTGCTCCCCGGGCGCCGCAGCAAAAATAGCTGCCCACTGCTCCGGGTGTTTGTTCACGGTAATAACAATAACAACAACGTGATATCTGATTTGAAAAAGTAGAAAAAAAAGTTTGACAAAACGCTATTCGAACCCCGGTCGATTGCGTCAAAAACGACTTCCACACATACTTCACCATCTGCGCTACTGGAGCTGTTATTAGACGATAGTCTTTTGTAATGCTTTGTAATCACACATTGATGGGCGGAGTTAGTGGGCTATTTGCACTTGTAACACTCCGTTTTTTTATTTTTTAACTGATGTTCAGCTGTTTCGGGTCATCGTCAGTAATTTTTCTTGTCTTCACCACCTGGCTACTGTTGTAAAATGTTGAGAGATTCAAACAAAAAGTAATCAACAAATAGAACAAAATAAAAAATAATAAAGACTGCAAGTGACGTCGCTAGCGGAAGTGCAAGTGTCTGAGAGTGCAAGCCTGAGAATGGACGTCTGAGAGTGCAAGCGCCAAGCTGCAGCCAGACCCTTCTGGAAATGCGCGCCAGTAATCGGCGGTGCATTTTGGGTAATGTAGTTCATGACTCAAAGCATGTTATATGTGTTAAAGAGAAGAAACGGAAACTGAGTTGTTACTTTGGTATTGTAAGTCGCCTGCATATTAGAAAAATGGGGCAATGTACTAACTAAATGATGTATTTGCAGATTGTGAAACCAGAACAGATGATTGTTGTAACACTGTCCCATTTCATGCTTGCAGGTATGAGTTATTGTGTTCATTTTGTTTTATTATTGTTTTATTAATTATCAGTGTTCATAAATCATCCGCTCACGTGACTTTCCCCCATTCAACTCAATGACGGCACGCTTTAGGGTCTCTGTAGAAAGTCTAATGGACCGAAGGGAGGCAAGCCTCCGCTCTAACTTTACCTGCGGGTGTCGCTGTTGGGACAGTGTTACTTTATAAAAACGAGTGACTTTTAGACATTTAATGTTATATTTAGTCATATTTGCGTTGTTTTATTTTTGTAATATCGATTATTTTCTCATCCACTTTTGAGGAGAGGAGACACTGCCTCCCTTGCCTTCTCGGAGGAAATGCCCCTGATATATATATATATGACATGTATATACACTGAACAAAATTATAAACGCAACACTTTTGTAATTTTGACCCATACAATGTATTTTTGGCTATTGCTACAAATATACCCCAGCGTCTTAAGACTGGTTTTGTGCTCCAGGGTCACATATATATATATAGCAAGTTGTTCTTGACAGACCAAGTAAGCCATATTTGAAGAACGTCACGCAGATCTGTTGGGCTGGAAATGCAAAATGTGGATGATGTACAAAAAGGATGATGTAGTGGGATTCTCACCTTCCATTTACTTTTAGCAAAGTTCTTCTTGATCTGAGCGCTGACAGACTCATGAATGTTCCTGTCGAGAGCCGTGTCTCCAGAAATCCTTCAAAATCAGAGATGGGGGACGAGTTAATAATACAATTTTGGTGAAAAGAGGAAAAGGATATTATGATCATAGATAAAGTTAAAAAATAACACTTATTTTTAGGTAATCCTACCATGGGTGCTGTAAAGCCTGCTCACACATGTATCTCAGAGACGGCTCTTTCTCCATCAAGTGACTGATGAAATCCTTGGCTAGGATGGGATATGATCAACAATATGTTTGTCAAACAATATTCAAGAAAATAGAAATGCCCAGGATAGAGCTCATCAGTAGTTTTGAGAAGGTTTTTTTATTCACTGTCTGCACTCCTATTTGCAGACAAGTCACATTATATAAAAATGAACTCAGCTCAATGTTGTTACATCACTAATGGTATTTTTATTTTTAAAAACCTACAGTTGAGCTCAACGGGTGCGATCTTTTGTATCAAGAACATCTCAAAATGATCTACCTGAGTCAGAGATGTCGTCCCAGTATGGAGAGTCAAACTCATACTCTGCTTTGAGAATCTGCTCGAACAGCTTGGCATCATTTTCATCGTAAAACGGAGGGTAGCCACATAAGCTGCAAAAGACATAGCTTTGTAATAACAACCAACTGACTGTTAATTATCCCTCTTATTATTTGGTTCAATGAACAAGCAAACAAACAAATAAATAAAATATTGATTTAGATTGAAATATTGATTTAGATTTACTCATTTTAAATATCTGACTATAATTTGGAATGAATAATACATAAACAAAATAAATAAATTCCTATAAGAATTGACCATAAACAAACAAACAAATAATATAACAAAAATGAAAAATAAAAATATCAGAATTGACCATAAATAAAAAATAATTTTAAAAATACTATAAAAATTGACAAACAATAAATAAATATGCACAAACCAAATATTTGACATGACAAATGAATGAATATGAAATATTGATTTATATTTACTCATTTTAAATATCTGACTATAATTTGGAATGAATAATATATAAAAAATTAATTACTATAGGAATTGACCATAAACAAACAAACAAATAATATAACAAAAATGACAAATAAAAATAATATCAGAATTGACCATCAATAAAAAATAATTTTAAAAATTCCTATAAAAATTGACAAACAATAAATAAATAAATAAATATTCACAAACCAAATATTTGATAAGACAAATAAATGAATGAATATGACATATTGATTTATATTTACTCAATTTAAATATCTGACTATAATTTGGAATGAATAATACATACAAAAAATTAATTCCAATAAGAATTGACCATAAACAAACAAACAAACAAATAATATAACAAAAATGAAAAATAAAAATAATATCCGAATTGACCATAAATAAAGAATAATTTTAAAACTCCTACAAAAATGGACAAACAATAAATAAACAAATAAATATGCACAAACCAAATGTTTGATATGACAAATAAATGAATGAATATGAAATATTGATTTAGATTGAAATACTGATTTATATTTACTCATTTTAAATATCTGACTATAATTTGGAATGAATAATACATAAAAAATGAATTTCTATAAGAATTGACCATAAACAAACAAACAAATAATATAACAAAAATTGACCATGAATAAATAATAATTTGAAAAAATCCTGAATGAATGAATATTAAATATTGATTAAGATTGAAATATTGATTTCTGTTGATTCATTATAAATATATCAATAAATATGGATTGACCATAAATACGAATAATTACATACATTTAATAAATTAAATCAGATCAAATAAATAAATTCCTAAAAAATTGACAATGAATGAATAAATAAATATTTAAAATAAATATGCACAATTTGTGATATGACAGATGCAGATCAAGGAATACTTACAGAATATAAGAAATCACTCCTATGGACCAACAGTCTACAGCTTTACTGTATGGTTTTTGTGCCAAGACCTCTGGAGCTGATTGAGAGAGAGAAGCTTTCAGTGTTCCTTTTTTCTGTTTAGTTCACTTTCCTTTTGAGCTTTGTAGAGAATGAGGGCAGCATCAAAGAGGCACTTTAAAGAAGCTAACACTTGACACTGTGCAGCATTTCAAACGACTGAGAGCCTCTAAAAACTGACACATTACTGACCTTACTAAAGATGGTAAGATATAGATTGAAAAAGGCAGAAAACAAAATAGCCCTCACTCGTACCTACGTATCCAGGTGTTCCACAGGCAGTTGACATCACACTTCCTGAGTCCTCGATCTTAGACAGGCCAAAGTCACTGATCATGATATTGGAGTCCTCCTCCATACTGTAATACAACAGATTCTCTGGCTGCACAGAAAGAGAATGACATTAAATCAAGTTTAATCACATTAAATCAAGTCATATCTTGCTACATTTAATGGACAGCCATTGGTGAACTTTTTTCATATGTGTAACACCATGTTGTAATCAGATGTGACAAATGTTTTTCTCATGACAATCCATGACAAATAGCATGCAACAGGGCATTTTATTGGTCACTTGGGCTATGTCTGGAATAGAATACTACTATAAAACTCTTACTATTTTTATAAAAGTCCAAAATGTGCGATATACACCGACATTCAAAAGGTTGGGGTCAGTAGAATTTTTTTAAAGATATTAATACTTCAGCAAGGTTGCATTAAATCGATCAAAAGTGACAGTAAAGACATTTCAAATATCACAAAAGTTTTCTATTTAAAAAAAAAATGCTGTTCTTTTGAAGTTTAGATTTATCAAATAATCCTGAATTGAAAAATGTATCACGGTTTCTGCAAAAATATTAAGAAAAACAACTATTTTCAACATTAAAGTCTGTGCAAAGCAATATTAAATATGTGTTCTGAGTTTATCACACCACAGAAAAATGTGTTATTAACCACCCAGCCAAATTTGAAAAAAATAATTAGAAAAATAGGCATTAGTATACTGCGCAGCATGCAGTACTGTAAGCAATACACTTGTATTCTATTCCAAACACAGCCTATTTCTGTCAAGTTATGTAGCACTACCTACTGTTAAATCTCATTGGTCAGATTTTCAGCTCCACACAGCTGAATATTAAACATTAAACACTTTTGTCAGTGATTTTGTCCCTTCGTGGCAGTATTTGGCTTTCAGTGAGGACAGATTGCATGCTGAATAATTTGTCACATTATGCCTGGTTAGAAAGGCAGAGCATAATTATAGGGAAAGAATAGGTAAGCTTTACCTTCAGGTCTCTGTGCACAATGCCCATATCATGCAGATACTTCACCGCATCTAAAATCTGCCGAATGAGTTTGCTGGCATCTCTCTCGGTGTAGAAGCCCTTTTCTACAATCCTGTCAAAGAGCTCTCCACCCGATACGCTGTGAAGACCCACACAAACAAACTACAATTAGCACCTCTACTACAATCACACAAGAATTCTATTGACACTGCAAATTAAACCAACATCAGCCAGTATCTAAGTAAAGTATGTCACTATGGTTGATGTTGTTGTGAGTGCTGAGAAAAACTCACAGCTGCATGACCAAATACAAATGCGACTGACTTTCGAAGATGTCTTCCAGTGAAACAATATTCTCATGTTTTATTCTGAAAAAAAAAAGAAAACACCAATGATTAGATCATAAATTGGTGGTCAGACTTATTATTTTAGCTGAAGGACAGTAAAATGGTCTAAGATCATTAAATTATCTAGGGACCAGAACATCAGAAAGTCTAGTTTTTCTTGTAGGGTTCAACTTGAACAGGATGCAATTCATATTTTACATTGTGTTTATGTTGATTTACTTGACTATAAGGCAGTGATATTTTTATATTACTTATATACTATTATAGTATGTATAAATATTTGGAATTAACTTTTATTTTTGCTTTCAGGTTTCATTTTAATTTTAAGTTGTAGTAATTTATTTGATATGTGTGTTTGTTTTGTTTATTTTTATATATTTCTATTTAACTTTTAATTTTTTTTTATTTAATTTCTTTAATTTTAATTTTTTTTATGTAACTTTTATTTTATTTCAGTTTTAGCTATTTTAGTACATCAACTTATTTATTAGCAATTTTAGTACATCAACTTATTCATTTCATTTCTATTTTTCATTTAAATCTTTTAAATTTCAATTTTTGGATGAATGAATTGAATGAATGAATGAATGAATGAATGAATGAGTTTTAATTCCCAAGTGTGCACTTTAATTTAATTTAATTTAATTTAATTTAATTTAATTTAATTTAATTTAATTTAATTTTTCTAATCTAATTTAAGCTTTATTTCAATTCGGAAACCTATTTTTAATAATTTTAGTTTTTGTTAACAATAACTAGACTGCTGTAAGGAAATGTAATATGAGTGTTAATGTTATTGCATTGCTCTAAAGATCTTTTCACGCTCTACTCACGATGGCTTTCCTTCCTTCTTCCCTATTTTTAATGCACTTTCTCAGTCTCTACACCAGCTATACTCAAATCAAACATTAATAACATTTTGCTCCATCTCCATTTGACTTCCTCTCTTTTGGTTTCCTGCTTTGCATGCTTTGATTACAGTTTTTCACACCAATGGTGGGAATCTCTCTCTCTCTTAATTCTATTCCTATTCCTCCTCTTTGGTCCCTTCCTTCCTCTCTTTCACAATACTGCTGCAGGGAACCTCCATACCATCTCAGCCTCTGTGTGTGCTGTTGCCCTGGCAACAGAGACACTAAAAATAGGACGATCTCCAGTGCTCTTGACATTTCCGGTGCACACACTTCTACAATTTCTAAAGCTATAGCACATTTTTTATGGCACAGATAGCATTTACAAGAGCTTTTCGTCTCTCAAAGAGCAATCTGGCTTTTAAGAGGAAAAGGAAGACACCTTTCAGCATCTTGACTGCCATTTATCCTTAACACAACCTCACAAAGAGTCAAGCACTCGGCAGCACCCGTCCTATATCTGCACACAAATCATGACATGGTTTCGCTTGATCTCAAACAGTGCTGTCATCTGCTATTGGCCCTGTAATCAAGGAGTTCAGTACACTGCAGACTACAGGTTTCCTCTGTTTGGCTCTCTCCGTGAAAAATATATCCTGTCCTGTATAAAACATTAACAGCTTAATCCAGCCTAAGGCCAAGTTGGTCCTCAGCTGGTTTAGATGGTTGATCCACCGGCTGTGCATCCTGACTATCTAGCCAGACTGTTTTTTTTTATGCTGTAAATCATTAGAGAGTCAGTTCTGACCTGTGTAGCACAGCAATCTCATTCTCAATGCTGTTTTCCTTGCCCTCCAATGCTTTCTTAGGGATGCATTTGATGGCTACGAGTCGCTGGGTCTGCTTCTCCTCAGCCAGGAACACCTCAGAGAACGCCCCCCTGGAGGACAGGAAAGATGGAGTTAGTGGATATTTAACTTTCCCGCAGTGGACCTTTAAGTTTTTGCTTTGAAAGTAGACATTAACCAATATATTGACCAGAGCTGCATTTCCCAAAAGTAAATGCACTCGCGGTCTCTATGACCTACTTAGGCTAATTAATTGACCACTAATTCAAGATTATTAACATGAGCCAGTAAGCATAATCAAATTTAATTATTAAAAAAATTTTTTTTTTTTGGTAATGGTCATTGTAAATATTACAGATATTAATTACATAAAGAGTTTTAAATATTTCTTGTAAATATTACATGATAAAAACTGCAATTGCAATTATTATGTGTGTCAAGTTTGCCACCAATATATGATATAAATCTGGGGTTTGCCTTAAATATTTATATACAGTTGAAAATAATGACCAGGAATAAGCAGCATAAAATAACATGCTACCTATCAAAAGTTTGAGGTCTGTAAGATTTTGGTATGTTTTTGAAAGAAGTCTCTTATTAATGCTTATTAAGGCTTCATTTATTTAATGAACATACTTTTTTTTTTTTTAGGATTCTTTGATGAATAGAAAGTTCAAAAACTACATTTATTGAAAATGAAATCTTTTGTAATACTATAAAAGTTGTTACTGTCACTTTTGATCAGTTTAATGCATCCTTGCTAAATAAAATTATTCATTCATTTAAAAAAACAGTGTAACTCTGAACAGCTTTAAAAGTTAATGCACTAGCGTTTTTCTACATCACTGATGGAAAAAGCAGAAAAAAAGGTGATTTTTACCCTGTAATTCAACCCTGATTGTTGTGTAACAGGAAGTAAACAGTGCTGACACCTTTTCCAGAGTATTTTTCTTTTTGTGTGTGTTGTTTGTGCAACAGAAATATTGTGAACGGCTGAGATTTTATCAGGTCAGACTCGTCTGGTGGGGAAAGATGAAACAGTGTGCTGCAAGTCTGCATCCTCCAAAGGGACACAGGTAGAGCCAGAAAAAGACAAACAGCACAAGCTGTTTAATCATCCAAGGAATGTTTCCATGTGTTTAGGCATCTGGGTGTGTGTTTGTCCTATTTCGAGCATCCTTTCAGGGTTTTACAGGATTGTAGCCAAAACATTCATTCTTGTTCTCTTCCTTAAACACAAAGCCTGTGTGTTAAAACGAGCACTGTCATGTATAATCTAGCTGTCCCAAACACACACTCCCTAAACTGCCTTCTTAATCACAGAGGGAGCAATTAAACATACAATTTGCCACTAAGGAAAAGAGAAATAAACAAGTCAGAGAATAAATGACAGTAGAGGAAATGTATTTTCCTCTCTTCCAAGACTAGTATTAAAATGCTAATTATCATTTCAAACATTTCATTCTTCTTGTCTCGAACTATTCAAAAATAACATCTAAATATGAATACAGATACCCAACTAACAAAAATATGTTCTAAGAACATTTTGTACCCATTAAGCTATGGAAACGTTATTTCTGAGGTTCTTTGTACATTCAAAACGTCCTATTTTTTAAACGTTTTAAACGTTTTTTTCTTGGTTGAATGAATGTTAAAAGAATATTCCATTATATCATTTCACAAACATCATTGGAATATTACTGTTAAACGTTCTCTGGACGTTCTGAAATGAGTAGTAACATTAAAAAATTGAAAGAAAAACATCAAAATTAAACATTTCAGAAAAAAAGTTTCATGAATGATGCATAAATAACGTTTTTGTTGTAATGTTTTGAGAACATTATAACTTTGAATGACATTCTAATCACGTTACTGGAAGAACGTTTGTTCTTAACTTTGAGAGAACCTTTAAAAACATTTGAATATTCAAATTTGACTTAATATTTAAAACTCTTTCAAAATGAAGAAAAACAAGTGAACATGCAAGGGCATTTTGAGAATAACAGGAAATTTGGACTCAGCAATTATGTGTTGTGTGCAATTTTTTGAAATCACAGAAGCTTGCAAGCGTGTCTGTTTGCATGAGGATGATTTCAATTAAAAGGACCTTATGATATGTTGTTGTTGAGATAATAATAATAATAAAACAGAAATCTCCAATGACCTGGAAGTCATGCTAGTGAGTCATGATCACATCAGTGTTGTTTAGTGAGAGAGAACAGCTCATAAAGCGCTGCAGTTGTCAACAAACTTTCTACTGGACTCGTATCACAGACTTATCAGACTGCATGCCTTAAGTGGAAAGGGGGAAGTGCAGGGGCAAAATGGAGGTCGGGAAGAAAGAATGAAGGAAAGAACGAGCGAGTGAGAGGAAATGAAGAGAGCGAGAGCTGTGCTGTTGCCATGAGACATGGTGTAATTAAGGCCTCCCATGGCTTCCTGTGGGTAAAGGAGGAGGAAGAGAGGAGAGAGAATGGAGATTAGGAAATGATACAAGACAGCCATGTGGGTGTTTGGGTCTGTAAATAAGAAAATTGTTTCGCAGAGACATATTACAAGGCCAATCATTTCCCAACAGCAGCTCTGTGCACTAAAATAGATTAACAAAATGCTCATGGTGTAAAGTGTTTCTCTAGTGAGGGGTTCAGAATCATATAGAGACAAAATAGTTTATGTGTCAATAAAAAGTGAAAACAACATCACTGAAAGGAAAAATTACAAACATACATTCATACTAGTTATATACATTAATGTTTATATTACATTACACTGTTTATGTTGCATAAAATGTTTAAATGTCCTACAATGGTGCTGAGAGATTCTTACTGGTCTCTGAAAGCATTATTAGATTAGCTAAAAATATTCAAATTTTACCTAATATTTATTTCAAACTCTTTCAAAATATGTACAAAAACAATAAATAAACATGCAAGTGTATTTTGAGAATGATAGGAAATGTGGGCCTAGTCATTATATGTCAGTTTTCTGATATCATAAAAGATAAAAGTATTTTTAAAATATTTTTGCTGTTGCATTATACTTACTGTTAATTCACTGTTTTAATAACTATAAAAATATAAGGAATTTAACTCTAATTTAATTAATAAAAGCTGAAGATTCTCTCTCTCCACACACACACAGAGACACACACACACACACACTTATTTTAGAATGTCAAGTAGAGTTAATCAAGTAATACTGACGCTGCATTTCATTTAACCAATGTACCTGACCTGGAAAATAATCTGTAAAGCAATAATCCAATCATTTCAAAGATTTAGTGCCGGAACACTAGACATCTCTCATTATTAATTTAACTGCTGAAAAAACTCAACTTTTTATCTATTATGCTTTCATCTGTCACAATTAATTATCAGTTTAATTTTTTACATTAAATTTATGAAATACATTTTTTTTTCTCAGCAAATATTGATAAAATTGATTGATATCCCTTGTAAAAAGCCATTTAAAAACCTGCTCTGAATCATACAGACTCACTCTAACAAGCTGTGATTAATAATTGAATAAAAATGCAGCATGAGTGGCCCTGATTTCTTTTTTTATGGATGTCTTTTAAAAGGCTAGGTTGTTTGGGGAGCTTTTTCTGTACTTTTAGACTCCCTTAGAAAACCGTATAGATTTGGTCATTACTACTGACTGAAAAAAACTCTGACATCATAACAACCTGACAAAACTCGCCAAATAAAACTGGTCAACACAAATTCTTCTTTCAAAACACCTTTCTCATTTTGTTTAGGAAGGTTGGGAGTTTAAATCAACAAAAGAAGCTTCCAGACAAAAACAGCTCAGAAGCTCATTCATCTTACTTCTGTGACACTCACATAAACATAAACTTTTGTCTAAAAATAAAAGATCCTGTCACCATAGCAACCAGTGCACGTTTCTGCCCTCTTTGTAAATAAGATGAACACTGTGAATGACTAAACCAAAAACAAAACAGTAAAGTCAAAATGATGTTTGAATTCTGATTTGAAAGGGCACAAATATAAACAGTCCATTTTGTTTCCTAAATATCACAGTTTTCAAACAGCAACACTAAAAAATACTGAAAAACAATCACAAATTTTAAATACTAACCTCATGTCTTACAAAAAACAGACCTTCTTCTATTTACAGAAACAAGATAAGCAAACTGTTATTTGTATATATTAGTTAGCGTAATGACTTAAGCACTTACATAACATTTCATAACAAAGTCTCCAACGTACCACCCATTCCTCATTATGCTAACAGCCATGTACTTTTGTATAAACTGTATAAATTACAATATGGAAAATAAGCAGAATGGATAATGCTTACAGTCGCAAATAACTGTTAGCACAACTCTTATCTCTTTTTAGAGCTACTTACTCAAACATTAGATACAGTCTCTCGATATACTGTAGCAAATCCTACACAGTTTGCTAAAATTAAAAACTCCCTAGTGTCCAATGTGTCTCACCACCGCCCAATGAAGATGAAGTGTCCAATTGTGAACCGTTTTCCATGTTTTTAATCAAAATCCAGGTCCGCAGCTAGATAAGCCAGAACAGATACAATTTCCCAAGAATAAATCAATTGACTCCACTCACAGAATTCACGGATAAACCAATTCCATAATCTACTTTAGAAAAGAGGCTTTCTGTCAACATATACAGTTAAATACTCTGAACAACGCCTTACTGGCAAACTCAGCGCTGGGTTATATTTAACCCAGCATTTTTTAGAGTGTAGGTTACAGATTTGCCTATGCAGAGAAACCGTTCCATTTTCTGTCTATAGTTGCATTAATGTGAGATTAATCATGCAGAACAGACAAAGAGCACTTTTTGATTTATGACCAGTATGTGGTCTGCGAGTACAGAATGACAGAAATCTTTTGAGCCATCCTTCTAAAGATTAGCAGGCTAACTTTTCCCATAATATTTACAGATTGCTTCTGCATTGCTATTGGTACAACATACCTCAAGGAAGTTCTCCTTGAGGTTTTGGACTATCCCATGATTTATGACTCTCTTACTCTCTGTTTATTTCTGCTGATGGGGCAGACAGGTCCCCGCTGCAGCAATCTTGCCTACTACACAGTCCGCTTCAGCTCATTCAGCTCTCTGTAGAATTCGTTGTTTGCTGACAAAAGAAAACAAGCATGGCCTGTGCCTCTCAGCACAAAGCTAAAATTGCTCATTGAAATTGATAGTTCTATTGTAGCACTTACAATTAACTGCACTGTTCCAGTCCAATGCAAGATATTTAGTACAACTATAGTTATATATATAGTGTCCACATGACTGTTCACTGACCGTCTGATGGATGTGACAAGCAAGTGTCTGCCAAATGTTTAAATATAAATGTCTTGTACAGTAATGCTATACAACTTAGTTCACCAAGAAACAAGTCATGTTTGCAAGGTACAACGGGCTTCATTTATGAAACGAATTGTGTAAACCCGTTCTACCATAAATTGTCACATTCAATTCAATGCAACAGTTTATGTAACACCATGTCTACATTAGTCCAAACCTGTGTAAATTTCTATCTTCTGCTGAACACAAATGAAGATATCTTGAAAAATGTGCGTAAACAAACTTGTTTCTGGTCCCCATTCACTTCCACAGTCTTTTTTTCCATACTATGGAAGTCAATGGGGACCAACAACTGTTTGATTACGCAAACAGTCTGCTCACGAAGGCATATTAATTTTTAACAAAAATACTGAAAAATCAGTAGTATTGTGAAACATTATTACAATTTTAAATGACTGTTTTTGATTTAAATATATTTTAAAATTTTAATTTATTCCTGTGACTGTAAAACTGAATTTTCAGCAACCATTACTCCAGTCCAAGGAATATTTATTTATTTATCTGTTTATCAGTTGGGCTGCTTAATATTTTTTATGGAAATTGCAAAACATTTTTCAGGATTCTTTGATGAATGGAAAATTCAAAAGGAAAGCATTTATTTGAAATAAAAATCTTGTAAAATTATAGCCTACATGTTTTTTAAAGTGATTTTTGATCAGTTGAATGTTGAATGAATGTATTAATTTCTTTCAAGGAAACAATCTCACTGATCCTAAACTTTTGAACAGTACAGTGTTATCATGTTTACAATTCATAGAAATCAATCCAGGATATTTGTAAATAAAGTAAAAAATGTATTCATGTTAAAAGGGAAATGAAAGTGGCAGGGAAAAACTTTCAAAAATAGAAAAGTGGGATCCGTCAACTAAAGATGCACTGCAGTTTGCTGTAATGTATCCACCTCTAAACAAGACCTAACAATAAAGAGAACTGCACTTGGCCACTTTAAGTTTATACTATATCATTAAAATTGTCTCCTTCTGTTAAAGTAGACATTTCTTTGCCAGAATAAGCTGCAAAGTGGTCCAAACTTTATGCTGACAGTCAAACACAAAGGTATTAAGGACTGAGGTTTCGGTGCAGCAAAGGTCACGACTGACAATTGCTCCACAGTGATGCTAAGAATGTATCTCTGCTGAGTGTGTAGCATGCATGGCTCCAAAGAAGGGGATTTTACATGAGGCTGGCCATGTGAACTCAAGCTGAAGTAAGCATGCCCAAATGTTTATGTTATGCCATCTGAAATAGCAGTCATTCTGGCTGCAGGAGGGGAGAGACACTCATAACAACCCCCTGATGAATATTATATGCTTGAGTATGTGTCTGTGTGTGTGCGTGTCTGAAGGTTTCATCACAGCTCTACGCTATAGTGACTTTCCCCTCAGCAGTGCCTTGGAGGTTGGCGATGTGCTTCCCACCCAGCATTCACCGTCCTGCTTCTCACGTGCTTCGTGAAAGATCTTGCGTGAGTGTCGCTAAGATTCGGCGTGGCAGATCGGTCTGTCCATCTGTTTATCCCTCTCTCTGGCCCTCGTCCTCAGCCATGTCGCCCAAGATGCGGTGAACGTGACAGTAAAATGTACACACTCTGCACACGCACGCGCTATAAATATATCTGCAACATAAAAGGGCTAGTGCACTTAGGGTCGACGAACGCTCTCTTGTCCTCTACTACGACTGAGTTCATGAATAATAGAAACATTGCCAGGTCTACATGACTTCAAAACAAACTGAAATTTTGTTGTTGCTTTTGTAAGAAAGCATCTGGGAATAATATAAATGCGAATGTTAAATTTAACAAATTCCCAATATTGACGGATAATGAAAGCCATGCTGCGTGCCACACTGAGGTGTCATTAATCACACCCGGCAAAGCGAGAAAAAGAGGCAACTGCTCCAACAGAAAATGGATGAGATCTGTTTCTGACGCCACTCAGTGCCAATATATTCTGAATATTGTTTTCATAATGCCAACATGACATATTGCTTTTCTCAACTGACTAAAACAAATGAAGGAGATCTACAGAGCTACAGAAGAAGATTAGGAATAAGAATACTTGTTGATAGAATAGTTGCAGGTGTGATTCAATGGTCTGACGGAGGATTTTTTTCACTAAAACACTGTAAAGACCTGATTTTCCTGTCATCATGAGCTCTGTGTGGTTTTGATGTCCTTTTATTAGAGGAGGTATGAAATCACTCTAACCAAGATTATTACTGTTAACTAAAATTGAAAAAAAAATATATATAAAAATGTTTGTTAATTGAAATAAATTATTAGATGAAAAAATTATTGCTTTGGCAATAAACCCGAAATAGGTTTAAGTTGAAGCACAAAAATTACTAACTGAAAATTAATAAAAACTGAAACTGAAATAACAATAAATTAACCCTAAATATTAGTAATATTTATATAAAAAATAATAAAAATGGCAAAAGCGCATAACAAAAATGACTAAAAATTAATCTGGAATTAAAATGAAAACTGAAAAAAAAAAAAGCTAATTCAAAATATTAATAAAAATTATATAATAAAAATGGCAAAAGCGCATAACAAAAATGACTAAAAATTAAACTGGAATTAAAATGAAAACTGAAAAAAAAAAAAGCTAATTCAAAATATTAATAAAAATTATAATAGTATATACATAATGCTAAAATAACACTTATTGACTCAAAAAATAAATCTGAGATTGATCAAACAATGCTCTGGCCACTTTTATTGTAAATCAAGCAATTAATTTATCAAACACTCACGTCCCCAAGACCTCCTTGAAATCATAATTTTCCTTGATATCAGTTGTCTTCTTTTTCCATCCATTTTCATCCTCTCCTAAAGGCATTGTATTGATTTCCACTCAGGAACTAAACAAGACAGAAGTAGAGGTTAGTGAGTAAGTCAATGATAAAGAAAGTGTATCACTTTAATAAAAAATTAGACATAGACACAAAACAGCGAAAACAAAGTTGCAAAAAACCTGGTTGTATTGAAGAACAGTGTTTTCAGTTTCTTGGCTATGATTAAATCTTACTGCAATAGTGTGGCATTGTTCGGGTGTGCATTACCACATCACACCGCTACTGAAGCCTGCATGTGCGAATGCCGTCATCATGGTACCTGTTACTTTTCTCAGTGCAGGGGAAGATGGGCAAAACCAATAGTTTGTGGTTGCATAAAGCATTGTATTTAGCCTAAGCATCTGCAGGGACTGCTTGAGCACATTGTCATCTGTAAGCCAGTGACCAGTTTTGTTATTTATAGATTTTGAGATTAATTTTTTATAGGCAAACTCTAGTGACTCTGTTATCAAGATGATTAAAACAAAAAATAAATAAAATAATGCATATTCACATATTCATAAAAACATTGAAACTATTTTGTCATGAAAAATATTTCTTTAAAATTAAAGTATCCATCGTACTTAACTCCATAAGTCCTACCTTTAGTCCTCAAGTCCTTCCTATACATGAAACTAATGAGTCTAAATGGATCCGTGTGATTTGCATCACTATTAATGCACATGAGGAGCCACTACTGTTTAACTGACATACACTTATATCATGACATCGCAGGACTACTGGACTACACACTAATTTTGACATATTGGACTGACCTTCAGCGCACATTTTCAGTGCAAACCCTGTTACTCCCTTCAATTTATAAAAAAAATCTTCTCAATTTGATTACACAAATTTAAAGTTATTGAATAAATTATCAAGCAAATATTTTTAAAGGCTATGCAACCTGTTATTATCTTGTTAGAGTCTTTCTAAAGAGTATTTGAAAGTAATTAATTAATTAAAAATGACACTTTTACATTATATTTATTCTTATTAGAAAGCCCCTAAATTTAGTTTTGTTTTATAATTTTCTGTAATTTTGATTAGTCATATATTTTTATTTGATATGGCAAAATTCTCATTTTTCATTATTATTATTTATTATATATATAATTTATTAACTTACATTTTCTCCATTACTATGCTTTTATATCTGTCTTTGGTCATTCCTTATTCCCTGTAATCTTTGTCATCTTTAAAGACATTTAAAATAGATAAGCACTGGTCATATAAGTTTGATTGTTGTAATTCTGGAACTTATAACAAATATTTTTCAAAGGTCAAACACCTTTTTTTTTCACTGACCATTTATTGAAAAGAAACGAAAAAACAGCTCGGTTTTGTACCCTGTTTCGTAAAAAGTGCCACGTCACAGAACCAAACCAAAGCTGACAAAATAAACAAGATTCAGCAATGCATAGAACTCATATACTGAATATGTCATGCATATATCATAACTTTTATCCTGTCAACATCTTACATCAGTTAAAGTACAAGTTATATTTTTCAGATCTGTGCAACGAAGTACAAAAAGTAGCAGAATCAGAATTAGCTTTAGTGGCCAGGTGTGCGCAAACACACGAGGAATTTGTTGTGTTTTTTAAAGTTTTTTTTTTTTTTATTATATTCCTTTTGGACCTGGTACCATGGCAATGCCATGGTGTTTCAACACCCGTATCAAATTCCATGCTATTATATACCATGGAATATGAATGTGATAATCATTCAGTACCATGCTATAAGATCAGTATACCACAGTAGTACCACATTATGTTTAGCAGAAGATTACACATACAACAAAGCAATAAATATTAACTATGATCTTAGAAGAACAGCGTTTCCAAAGAAAAAAGTTAAACATGCAATGCACAAAAACCCTTACCACTATCTGAAAGTGCTCCGCATCTCGAGTCATTGAACAAGCAATGCACTATGCCAGTGGACGCATATTGTTCGTGTATAAGTGTATGTGTGTGTGTTCAGACACTGCGCATAGATGCGCATTCAGGAGTCTGTTGCCACCTGCACTAACAATCCTCTAGGAACAGACAACGAAGCATTAACAGGAATAGACTGAAAACAGATCAAATGTTTGTTTTCAATCGACGTTATCTTACATAGACTCCTACTATGCAACATGGACTACAGTGTATTGCCCACATCATGCATGAAAGCTTGCAGTGGCATTGCAGAAGATTCTGCTACTACATTTAAATCAGTTCATACACTTCATCCGCTGACTTAAGTTTTTTTTTTTTTTTATTATATTCCTTTTGGACCTGGTACCATGGCAATGCCATGGTGTTTCAACACCCGTATCAAATTCCATGCTATTATATACCATGGAATATGAATGTGATAATCATTCAGTACCATGCTATAAGATCAGTATACCACAGTAGTACCACATTATGTTTAGCAGAAGATTACACATACAACAAAGCAATAAATATTAACTATGATCTTAGAAGAACAGCGGTTCCAAATAAAAATGTTAAACATGCAATGCACAAAAACCCTTACCACTATCTGAAAGTGCTCCACATCTCGAGTCATTGAACAAGCAATGCACTATGCCAGTGGACGCATATTGTTCGTGTATAAGTGTGTGTGTGTGTGTGTTCAGACACTGCGCATAGATGCGCATTCAGGAGTCTGTTGCCACCTGCACTAACAATCCTCTAGGAACAGACAACGAAGCATTAACAGGAATAGACTGAAAACAGATCAAATGTTTGTTTTCAATCGACGTTATCTTACATAGACTCCTACTATGCAACATGGACTACAGTGTATTGACCA